TTTGTCAAAGTGTTACTTATTCAAGGTAAAAGCGGGAGTTATGGAAATCCTTAACTTCCTTGGGAGTTATGATATCCTTAACTCCCTTCCTTAACTCCCTTGGGAGTTAAGACCCTGTTTATGATTATCGTAACCAAGGTATTATATGGTTTTAATAGTTCAGTAGGATATAATAGTTATTTATGTATCAAGGGAATTATGCAGGTGTTAATACCCCAGGGCAACGTTTGTGTCCCGAGGGCCTCCGGCCCGAGGGACACCAATTGCCCGTGGGTATTAACTCCTGATAATTCCCGTGGTACATAGATAATTTTATATCCTACTGAATTTACTGTATTCTGTCTATTTTTATAAAGGAATAAGCCATAAATCAAAATTTCTATTTTTTGTCAAAGTGTTACCTATTCAAGGTAAAAGCGGGAGTTATGGAAATCCTTAACTCCCTTGGTTTTAATAGTTCAGTAGGATTTATATCCTACTGAACTATTAAAACCATATAATACCTTGGTTACGATAATCATAAACAGGGTCTTAACTCCCAAGGGAGTTAAGGATTTTCATAACTCCCAAGGGAGTTAAGGAAGGGAGATAAGGATATCATAACTCCCAAGGGAGTTAAGGATTTCCATAACTCCCGCTTTTACCTTCAATAGGTAACACTTTGACAAAAAATAGAAATTTTGATTTATGGCTTATTCCTTTATAAAAATAGACAGAATACAGTAAATTCAGTAGGATATAAAATTATCTATGTACCACGGGAATTATCAGGAGTTAATACCCACGGGCAATTGGTGTCCCTCGGGCCGGAGGCCCTCGGGACACAAACGTTGCCCTGGGGTATTAACACCTGCATAATTCCCTTGATACATAAATAACTATTTTTCTCCAAAAACGCGGTTCCACACATAAACCGCATATTCAGGAACCAGACTGTCACCATAAACGAACCGCTCCATACCAATCGGTAACTCTGGTTAAGATACGGAACGCCGCCTAAATAGGTAAACCTTTACATACAGTGGCGACAATAGAGGTCCCGCCGCCATCTTGTTCCCAACCTCTTGTTTCTTTTAAATATGACTTTATAGGATTTGAATGGACATCTTTCATAAAAAATTGAAACCGACGTATTTGATGACTATTATTAGGTCCATCAAATACATTGTTTTCCATGTTTTATGATGGATATTCACCTAAATCCCATATATTCATTTTTGACATCAGCAATAGCTGAGAACAAGATGGCGGCGTTTTCTATATAAATATATGGGATTTTAGAACCAATCAAAAATGAGACAACAATTGTCGCCACTGTGGGTAATAGAGTCACAGTTTATACCGTACCGATACAGTTGTACAACTCTCCATATTTTTTGAGGCCAAATTCTCCAACCAATCGGAGCATTTTGTCCCATATCTTGCGCATGCGCTCAATGAGTGAACAAATCTCTCAAATTGAAAAAGCAGTTCGGCATATACATGTCTCTTTCCAATCCTGCACGCAAAAAAGAGATAGAGATAGCTTTGGGTGAGAACCCGCGAGAAATAACTGTCAAACGAGACACGCAACAAACAGGATTGTATTACAAAAAAAGAAGGGAAGTTTTTTGACTGAAATTATTCCAGGAAATTGAAAAGTAACCGGAAAATTCATCAATTTGAAATTCGGCTTTGTTAAGAGTGTCTTGCTTTCCGTGTTATTCGCGATTTTTGTGTACTTGACTGTTTTATCGTTAATATATTGTGTATTATCATATGGTTGCGTCCTGTTTTGTCTGTAAAAACAACACTAGAACTAGCCCAGGCTTAGGATATTTTAGTTTCCCGAACGATGAACGACTGTAAGTATTTATATTTACATATTTCATATGAGGTTTACTCTATACATTCACATAATCTTTGTTTATTATTATATGATCCCGTTATATTCTCAATGTTAATCCACAAAAAATCCTAGTCCGACTCTGTCCACGGCCCAGGGATTCGTTGTTTCCGATCAATAATGCGCAAGCGCGAAATATAGGGACATAGAATTTGGCTTCAAAAAAATCTATGGTTTGTCAACGGAGTTGAACAACTATATCGGTACGGTATAAACTGTGATAGAGCCACTGTACCCGAAAGTATATGACGTCCAATTTACGATTTTCATCTTTACTCATTGGTCGTATTAGACGACGTTTAAAAAAACGTTTCAGACGTCAGAAGTCAATAATAAGTCAACAATAAGTCAGGTAAGGGTGTGATTTCTTGACCACATAAGGGTAAGCACATAGTGGAGCGACGAGCAAAGTAGTGAGCAGTGAGGAGATCAAAGCAACGAAAACTAACACACGAGATTGAATTGTTTGAAACATAGTGAAGAGCAGTGCGGAGATTTAGCAGCGCTGTTAATATCGAGCAAAGCGACGCGTTCAAGCAAGTTCGATTTTTCTGCTTTGCTCGTTTGTCTCTGTGTTGTAAAAATGGACGTTGAACAATTAATAAGTAGTATTTTTTTAAAAAATCTATTGTGGGACCAAAAAGATCCCCAACATCATAACCGATACATATTAGATAAGTTGTGGGACGATGTAGCAGGAGAAATGAAGTCAACAAGTAGTGAAAAATATATTATATTAATAATTGTTGCTGGACCAATTGGGTTTATGTTGAAGTAAGTCCATTTTTTACCAATCTGTGTTCTAAGTATTTCTCCAAAATGTAATCAAAAGTTTTAATATTCATTCGAAGATAAGAGTGAACTTTTTCTGGATGTTGCCGTAATTCCTCATATAAATGGTGATATTCGCCTAATCGAAGTCTGCTTCCATTTATATGGTGTGCACTACACCTTTTTTTCTTTCTGTGTCTTCTCATTAAATACCAAATTCTTAAAGACGACGTTTCAGTTAAAACCAAATTATTAATTTTTATCTTTTTCACTCGAGTATTAACTCGCCACTATGCGCATACAATTCTTTCATCCACTCTCTGCTCCATTGACGCTCTGCTCTCCGCGCTGCCCACTGCTCTGCTCACCGCTCCACTATGTGCTTAGCCTAAGGCCGGAGTTTCATGCATCCGTTTTTCCGTCGAAATATGTCCGTAAAGTCTTCTATTTTGACATATTTATATACGATTATGTCAGAATAGAATGTTTTTCGGACATATTCCGTCGGAAAAACGGATGCATGAAAATCCACCCTTAGAGACGCTTTCGGGAGTAGGTAGGGCGTCAAGCTCCTAGAACACTCCACTTTTGACGAGCATTGCTCCTTTTACACCCGAACGCTTACTTTTCTCAATTGAATTTCACAATGCGACAATTAAAAAGGTAGGTTCTTTAGAGATTGTTTAGTTAGGGGGTGGGGACGAGGAAAATAACAACAGCTCCGGAGCGCAAAATCTGCGCAGACGAAATCTCTGAGACGAACGGTCCAAAGCGCGGACCAAAGTACTTCGGAGTAACTCTAGATTGCTCAAACTGTAACACCCGAAAGCGGCTAAGGATGAGGCAGAACGTAATTTTTAATGAACAATTATTGACAGTCACTTATCTGCACTTCCGGCGGCGTTATATTTGTTTATGCACGAACGGGCGTAAAAGTGCACTTTTACGCCCGCATTTTAAAGCGTGAAGTAGTACTTTTACGCCCTAGGGCGCCTTTTATGCCCGCGGGTCTGAAAGTTCCAAAAATAAACAAAAATTCGTCATTTTTTTTAAAAATTTTTGTATTTCTATTGCTTAGTCCAAAAAATACCAACTTTTTTCAACAAAACAAGCTTTATTTCAATTAATAAGAATAATAAAATAAGCAATAATGGTAAAATTCAATCTACTTTGAAATTGAAAATACAATTTTTACAGTTTTTAACTTTTGAAACCGGCCCTTTTCCACAGAAATACACAAAAGAACTGTTGCCTTCAACATTGAGGAAAAGCTCCATAGGGTGGATGGCTTATTTTTTTTTTGCATTTTTCATATTAATGTATATGCCAGGCTAGGAGAGTTTCTTCTACAAATTACTGCTGCTCATTTACACTATGTTGGGCACATTAGGAAATAAAGTCCTCATTATGTTTTTTCATAGAGTCTTTTGGACTTTGAAGGTATACATGTTTCTTGGCCTCTTCAACTGCCTCAAGAATAAACTTGGGCATGCTATTTTGCTCCTCAGGCTGTTACACACGCTGCGGGCGTTAAAGCTGTACTTTTTGACCTAGGTGCATAAATAACTAATTTGGTAATATATGCTGTCGGGACTGAACTCTGCGCCTACCGGTAGGTCCCGTTTTTTTCAGTGTACCTACCGTATATGTATATGCTAACATTATGAGATCCCCAATTTCCACATGATATAACTAGGGCTGGGCGATTATCAAAATAAATAATCGATTAATCGAAAATAATCGATTAATCGAAAATAATCGATTAATCGAAAATAATCGATTAATCAAAAATAATCGATTAATCGAAAATAATCGAATAATCGTAAGTAATCGGTTAAAATCGATTAATCGATTATTTTTGATTAATCGCTTATTTTAAAATAATCTATTATTTTTGCTTAAACGATTGTTTTTGACTAAACGAGAAATCACTGATATTTCATCAATCAGCTATTTTCAATTGTAATATAACGAGTGCAAGATAAATTTACCTTTCAATAATTATTGTATCGGTTGGCCAATAACTATCCGACCAATTGAAGTACAGAGAAAAAAATCGATACGTATCGATATGCACCCATCGATGTATATATCGAGATATCGTATCGATAAGCCCTTCTCTACAAGAAATGGAAGAATTGTTATTTGTTGTGACGTGCGTCACGTGCGTATTGCGCAGACATGCAGACTGCAAATAAATTTCATCAATGTAAAATCTAATGAAAATAATTTGTTTACCTGAGGTTTATACCCACTTACCTATAGATTTTAACTTTTTTTAATAACCGGAATAAGGAACAAGTAGAAAAATTGTACTACACAAAAAAAAAAAGGATTGGTAAAAATGGCAAAGAATGAGGTAATAAGTTAAGAACAATGGGGCAATATTACTCAATGATTATAAAAAAATCCTTAATTCTTCATTTTTGTCGTTGGTGTCCTTTCCTTAATTCCTTATTATTGGAAAGTTAAATATATTTGGGGCCGGTTTCTCAATAGCAAGTCACCCCTGGGTTAGGCATAACTCCAGGGTAAACATAGCAACTGGACACGCTTACCCTGGAGTTAAAACCAATCCGGAGGTTATTCGCTATTGCGAAACTGGCCCTTAACATCTCGAATAAGGGCTAGAACCCCCTTATTTGTACACCAGCGTCAAATACATTCAACTTTTTTACAAAAACACAAAAATTTTAAATTATAAAATCTCCGTCTAGTTATAATTCTTACTTGGTAAAAAGAAGCACCTATTCAACGTCGCAAGGTGCACACCTCTATTTTAATAGAAATTGTACTTTTATTGAGTTATAAAACCCTCCACTTTTTCATTCATACTTCCTGGTCCAATCAAAATATCAAATTAAACAGCAATCCTGCTTCACATTGTGTAGATTCACCCTCACCCTGACCAGACCAATTACCAATACAATACAATTCTACACAATCTTTTTTCATTATTTTCAGGACCAAGATCTCAAACACCTTTACTCTCAAGGTATCCAAATCTGGAGTAGAAGTCAAGAAGTTTTGGAGGAAGAAGCTCTGAAGGAACTCGAAATCCTTGTTGATGAAAACCATCAAGATAACAAGGAATCAGGAATTACAGATGTTGAAATAAAATTTGACCAGAAAATACATGAAGATAGTCCTTCGACCTCATCTTGTACAGCTGCTGAAAGTGATTTCACTTACAATTTGCATGACTATTATGAAGATGAAGAAGACGAAGAAGAACCGATAGAAGACCCGGGAAGCGATTATATCCCTAGCGATGAAGAATATCGACAAGAAACTAATATAGCATTATCGAAACCAAAAATCCAAAAGAAAACGCAAAGTAAAAAAAAATCTTCCCCACGCCTAATAAAAGTTACAGACGACGCGCTTGAAAAAAATTACAAATCTAGACTTGACAGCTATTATAAAAGACTAGAAAAAGAACTTGAGTTACTCGGAGTCCAAAATGAAACAAAAAAACCTTACAAGAAACTCAAAGGAGGCCTGAAAGTTCCCACTGAAATTTGGAACAGGCTCTATGAATATCAAAAAGAAGGTGTTTATTGGTTATGGGAACTACATCAAAGATGCAGCGGAGGTCTATTGGGTGACGAAATGGGCTTAGGCAAAACTGTCCAAATTATAGTATTCCTTCATGCCCTTCAATATAGTCAATATACCTCGAAACATGGAAGATTTATAGGAGTTGGTCCAACAATAATAGTTTGCCCAGCCACAGTTATTCAACAGTGGGTGAAACATTTCCACGAATGGACCCCAGAGTTTAGAATAGTAGTTTTACACCAATCAGGAAGTTATCAAGGACAAAAATCTAAACTAATCAATGCGGCCAATAAAAATAAATCAATAATTATAACTAGTTATGCAGGGATACTCAAATACAAAGGCAATATTTGTGAATACCACTGGCAATATTTAATACTAGATGAAGGCCATAAAATAAGAAATCCCAGCTCACAGGTCACTGTTGCAGTTAAAGAAATTAGAACACCGCACAGAATAATGTTAACTGGCAGCCCTATGCAAAATAACTTGACAGAACTTTGGAGTTTGTTTGATTTCACAAATCCAGGAATGTTGGGGAGTTTGAAAATATTTACAGAACATTTTGCAACTCCCATTTTACAGGGAGGGTTCACCAATGCAACTCCAATGCAAGAAGCCACAGCATATTCAGTAGCTTCAACATTAAAAAATATTATTTCTCCTTTTTTTTTGAGAAGAATGAAGGAAGAAGTTAAGGAACATATTCAGTTGCCAAATAAAAGCGAGCAAGTGCTATTTTGCTCTTTGACAGATTGTCAAAGGGATTTGTATAAAGATTATCTAATGAGCGAACAAGTTAATAATGTTTTGGGGAGAGGTATTAAGAATTGGAAAAGTGATAATGCAATGAAAGGGAATATATTAATGGCTATAACAGCGTTAAGAAAAATATGCAATCATCCTGATTTATTAGTGCATGAAGAAGACGAACCAATAAATGAATACAAAAAATCAGGTAAAATGGTTGTTGTTTCTGCTTTATTGAAAATATGGAAGAAGCAGGGCCATAGAACATTATTATTTTCACAAGGAAGATCAATGATTAAAATATTTGAGAATTTTTTGGACAAACAAGGATATGCATACTTAAAAATGGACGGCACTACTAGCATTAGCTCTAGGCAAGGATTAATAGATAAATTTAATCAAGATAAAAGCTATGATGTTTTTTTACTAACAACAAGAGTCGGAGGTTTAGGTGTAAATTTAATTGGAGCCAACAGAGTTATTATTTATGATCCAGATTGGAATCCGGCAACTGATACTCAAGCCAGAGAACGTGCCTGGAGGATCGGACAAGAAAAATCTGTTACAATTTACAGACTTCTTTGTGCAGGCACTGTAGAAGAAAAAATGTATCAAAGACAAGTATGGAAACAATTATTGAGCAATAAAATATTAATTGATCCAACAACCAATAAGTTTTTCAAGTCTTCTGATTTGTTTGATTTATTTTCTATGCCAGAAGATCCACAAGCCAATCCTGAGACTGCTAATATTTTTAGAGAATCTAGAGTGAAAATTCAAGAGAAAATTGAGGAAAAAAAGCGGTTGAAAAAGGAGAAGAAGAAGAAAGACATTGTAGTGACAGAGGAAAAAGTTGAGTTCTCAGCTGATAAGATACAAGCTATGAAGAATTTGGCACAACAAATTGCTAGAAATATTTCTAAATCTAATGAGACAGTTTTGCCAAAAAAAGAGGCATATCAGTTGCAATTGGAAGAAGAGAGAAAAAAAAAACTTGAAGAAAAACAAAAATTAAAACAACTAACACCGCAAGAATTATTTGAATATAACAGATGGAAAGCTGCACAACGTGAAGAAGAAACAATAAATAAAATGGACGATAAAGTGAGTAATGTCAGTTTTGAAGAAGCTCTAGAAAAAAGTTCAAAAACAGCCGAACTGTATCATAAATTAACAAACAAGGATATAAAATCCCTAATTCCTGGCCCAAGCACATCAAACAATGATCAAAAATCAAGAAAGCGCAAAAAAGGAGCCTCGATAGACACTTCAGGAAAAATCGATGGTGAACAAGTGGAAGGTTTGTTGAAACGAGAAACCAAAAAGCTAAAATATGATGAAACTTCCAACGAAAATCGAGATAATTTTATTCTGGAGCATTTATTTTCTAAAAAAGGAGTCTCTGGGGCACTGGAGCATGACTCAGTATTAAATGGAGGCAAAAAACAGCAGAGTTTAAAAGTGAGGACAGATGCTGATGAGAGAGCCCTAAAGTCTTTGGAAGCTTTGAAGAAATCTAGATTAAACCATTGGAAATGGTAATGAAATATTTCTGTCTTTCTTTGTTTCTAGTCTAATGATGCATGTCTCGAAACAAGTGTTATTTTTATATACATTATATAATTTTTATTTTTTTGCAATGGTTGCATTTTTTTTTTATTCAACAAACGTAACATTTTTGAGGCCAAAATATATAAAATTAATTACACTTTATTATAAAAAGTCTCCTATTTAATTTTGGTCTGAGAATTTTTTGCTAAGATTTTATAAGTATTTTTGGATAAAATGTAACTGAGGGCTGCTGCTACAGTTGTTCCAGCTGTGACGTACCTGAAAATAGAGATAAGTTTCATTAAATTACTTATAAAAGTAATAGAGTTAGTACCAAAGTCCTTGTAAAGCTGGATGGTTAACGTAATCAAAAACTGGTGCAGCCAAAGTACTACCGACTAACAATAGCTGTACAGCTGTATTAACTTTGCTTATAAATGTAGGAGCCAACTGGGCAGTGACGTGTGTGGCATCAAAATACCTTACAAAGGTTTTCTAAAAATCAAATATTAAGTAATTTCAACTTTTTGAAGTATCACTACATTTCCAAAACGTACTGGAGGTGGTAATGATTTATATCTGATAACAAAGCCAGCAATTACTAACACAAGATCTCTGGCAATAATTAATCCAGTTAAAAGAATTGGAATGAGCTCGGCATAGGTTAATGACAAAAATAGTGTTGCTATTAAAATTTTATCAGCCATAGGGTCAAGGAAACTGCCTAAATTTGATGACTGACTTTTCCATGTTCTGGCAATCCAACCGTCTAGCTGAAACAGTGAAACATGAGGCTTTTTTTGGATGAATGTATATGTTCTTTTACCCAATCTGTTACAGCTGCGAATCCTAATACTCCAAGGGCAAAGTCAAAGTTGCCTTGGACAATAAGGTATCCTAAATAAGGTGACACTACCATTCTAGCTACGCACAGGAAGTTTGGTATGGTGTAAATATTTTCTCGCTGGAAGAAATTAATATGATTTATCACAATGAGTATTTATTAACGCATACAAACCTCCACTATTTCCTCAACTCTTTCTTTCACTCTACTTTTGGTATCTTTAAGATCTTGCAATATGACATACCCTCGTTCTTTCAGTCTTTGCTCTCTATCCCTGAGTTTTTCTTTATTGTGCTCTAAATAAGCCTTGATATCTTCTTTCCTTTTAATGAATTTAGAGGTTTTATTATCGGAACTACAGTAAACTCGGCAAGAGCCAATTTGTTGGTTTTCAACTGAACTTTTCAAGTTTAAAAATTGTTTGAGGGGAGACGAAAAGTTTGTAGCTGCGTTTTGTAGTGTACATATGGAGTAAACTTTAGAATGTTTAAATAAATTGTTTTTGGGTATTGCACTTATTAAAGGTATAGTTTGTTTTAAGGAATTCATTGTTAATTAATTAGTTTAAAAAATTATAACTAAACAAAAATAAACAAACAGTTCCACTTCACCATTATTTGAGGTTATGATGGGCGAGCGCGAGCGTTACTTGAAGGCGAAGTCAAAAAGCTCTTCTTTTTTACAAAAATCAAAGAAAAAAGAAGAAAAGGCGCCAAACAAATGTCAAAAGTTTAAAAAAGTTGGGTTAATGTATTGTTGTTTAGGTTTGTTTTCAGATTCAGTTTTCGTTTTGTTAATAAATAATTATGGCTAATGTAGAAAAACTTAAAAAGAAATTGCAAAATGCCCTCAAGTTGAGTGGCTTTAACATAAGAAGGTACTGAGTTATCGAGTGAGTTATTCTAAAACCTAGTTTTTATTTGACAGCTTTTACTTTGCAGGGAATTTTGTTCTCAAATAGTAGAAACGTTTCTTGGAGCCCAAGTTGACCTAACTTTGAATGGTGTTTTTGATAATGGCATAAAGAAAATCTGTTCGGTATTGGGAAATCTATGCTTATCTGGTCAAAGTATAGAGAAAGAACATATTGAAAGAGTTTTAGAGGTAAGCAAAACATACTGGGTTATTCAAAAAAATCCCAAGATTTGATTTCCGTTTATGACGATGTAGGAATACATACAGTATGTACCTCTCTCGGTACCTCTGTAATTATTAGGGACAGAACCAGTTGCAGTGTAAGTTGACTTGGAGGATCTTTTCCTCAGACTGTTATCTTTCCCCAAAAAATCGCAAAATCGTTCGTCTTGGAGATTTAAAAACTTCCATTAGGTACTTTCTACGTCTTCAAATTGAGATGGGTTGTCAGTGCTGTGACATCCTTCGTGAGGGCAGCTGCCTTAAATTGAAAAAATTTGAAATCAACCTACCAAAGCATTATTTTTTGGTGAGTCTACTAACAATTTGTGTTACCCATTCCTTTTACCTATTTTTCAATTGAAAATTATAAAAACAAAACATTACATAAATCGTAATTTCTAAAATGCCTAAGGAAGGGGGGGGGGTGTCCCCCCCGAACCCCCTGATTTGAATTATAACTCAAATATAAGTGAGCCAATCCAAAGGTCAGATACAAATATAAATTTAAATTCTATAGATAGTCAAATAATAAATCGGCCAAGGTATGAAAGAATGTACAATAAAAAAGATTCAATTTATTTGCTTACAGTGGAAGCGGATAACAAAAACATTGGCAAATATTCGCAAATTAAAATAGCTAAAGAAATTTTTGATCTGAAATTTAATGATATTAAAAAAATAAAAGTATTAGGGAAGAATAAAATAGGTGTAGAATTTCTGAATTATGAAACAGCTAATGCCTTTCTTGAAAATGAAGTATTAAAAAATAAAGGACTAAAAGTATCAATCCCATATAATTATACATCTTGCAAAGGAGTTGTAAGAGCTATTGACACAGATTTAGACCCTGAAACCTTAAAAAGAGATATAATGATAAATTCATTCGAAAATCAAAAAGTTAATAATGTGGTCAGATTGAATAGACGTGTCCAAAGAAGAAATTTTGATAATAAAAATGTTACACAAGATAAAATCATTGAACATGAATATATACCTACTTATTCAATTCTTGTCACATTTGATGGAACCAATTTACCGAGATACATTAGCTTATATAACTTAGAAATCCCAGTAATCCCATATATACCGAGAGTAACACAATGTTACAATTGCTTTCTTTATGGGCATACAAAGAAGCTATGTAAGGGAAGACAAAGATGCTTTCAGTGCGCTGAGCATATCAATCTTGAAGAAGAAGACAAACATAAAAACTGTATAACCAAATGCTATCACTGCAACTCAGGAAATCATAAATCCAATGACAAAAAATGCCCTGAATTTGCGAGACAGGAAAATATTAAAAAAACAATGATATTTGAGAATATATCGTATTATGAAGCGGCAATGCTATGCCCCAAAACAAATCAAAATACAAATCAAAATTCCTTTAATAAATATACACTAGATCCGAGAGACTTCCCAGCGCCAAGACCGAAACCAACAACTGAGGATAATATAATACAAATTAATCAAAGACAAGCCACAACACAAAAATTCATCAACCAAAATAATAAGAGGTCATACCAACAAGTCCTTCAAAATCCATTCAAAAAAAGAATAACACAACAAGGATACGACCAAGAAGCACACAATCAACAACTATATTTTCCAAACACAAGACCAGAAAAATTTATAGTAAATCAACAAAAACAAGAAAGAATAATATGGAACAAAGACCAACCCTCAACGTCTGTCCATGCTCTACAAAACATTGATGAATATAATAAACAATTTAAACAAACCAAAAAGCCAGAGAGTGCTGTACAAATTATTGAAACGCTTAATGCAAATGAATCTATGCAATTGGCTACAAAACTTAGCCAATATGCTCAAAGAAGATTATACGAACATTTATCCCAAATCCTACTAGAAAGAAACATACAAATGGATGAAGAAGATTATAATTCATAAAAAAAAAAAACAACAACAACAATCAACTCAAACATGACAAACAGGTTAGGAGAAATCAAAATAATACAATGGAATGCAAGAAGCATCCTTCCTAATCGAGAAAACCTTATTAACATTATATATCAACATCAGCCAGATATTATACTGCTGAATGAAACATGGCTGAAACAAACCGACCACTTATACATAAAAAATTACAATATATTACGTAAAGATCGAAATGATGGCTATGGCGGAATTGCAATCGGCATAAAGAATGGATACATATACAATGAAATACAACCAATAATAGTTAACAATCATCTGGAACATCTAGCTATCAAAATAAACAATCTAAATATAATAACCTGTTATGCAGCACGACAAATACCAAATCTAAAGTTTGAACTTCAGAAAATCATAAATCCATTAACAGGAGAAACAATAATTATGGGGGATATGAATGGCCATCACCCAGATTGGGGTAGCAACCACCAAAATCTCAATGGAAAACAAATTGAGGAACTGTTAAGCGAAAATAACCTTCTAATACTGAATGATGGGAGCACAACAAGAATTACAAAACCTCATGAAAACCCAAGCCCTATAGATATAGCACTTTCTACACCTCCAATAGCAGCTAGATGCTCTTGGGAAGTGATCATGGATTCTGGTTACAGTGAACCGGTGTGAAACTAGCAGCCGCATTACAGCAGCCAAAGTGTGAAGTTGGCAGCCAGTTACAGCAGCCAAAATGTGAAGTTAGCAGCCTGTTTTAGCAGCCATTTTCAAGACAACATGGATAATGTCATAACTAAATTTTAAACTTTTGTTTCGAAAAATATAAATTTTTCTCCATTCGCCTTCGTGATTATAAGACGCAGAAGAATCGAAAAAAAAAAATGTAGGTCGTGAAAAATGGAGTTCCGCGATTAAACTTAGTAGTATCATTGACGATGTCCTAAAGAACATCTATACCGAGTCTCATCTCCTTAGGCCCCGTCTGACATGGAGAAAACGGGACATAATGGAAAAATCGATAAAAAATCAAAAGTCACTTTCAAAAATGGTGTTCCGCGATTAAACTTGGCAGTATCATTGATGATGTCCTAAAGAACTCCTATACCGAGTCTCATCTCCTTAGGCCCCGTCTAACATGGAGAAAACGGGACATAATGGAAAAATCGATAAAAAATCAAAAGTCACTTTCAAAAATGGTGTTCCGCGATTAAACTTGGCAGTATCATTGATGATGTCCTAAAGAACTCCTATACCGAGTCTCATCTCCTTAGGCCCCGTCTAACATGGACAAAACGGGACATAATGGAAAAATCGATAAAAAATCAAAAGTCACTTTCAAAAATGGTGTTCCGCGATTAAACTTGGCAGTATCATTGATGATGTCCTAAAGAACATCTATACCGAGTCTCATCTCCTTAGGCCCCGTCTAACATGGAGAAAACGGGACATAATGGAAAAATCGATAAAAAATCAAAAGTCACTTTCAAAAATGGTGTTCCGCGATTAAACTTGGCAGTATCATTGATGATGTCCTGAAGAACTCCTATACCGAGTCGCATCTCCTTAGGCCCCGTCTGACATGGAGAAAACGGGACATAATGGAAAAATCGATAAAAAATCAAAAGTCACTTTCAAAAATGGTGTTCCGCGATTAAACTTGGCAGTATCATTGATGATGTCCTAAAGAACATCTATACCGAGTCTCATCTCCTTAGGCCCCGTCTGACATGGAGAAAACGGGACATAATGGAGAAATTGATAAAAAATCAAAAGTCACTTTCAAAAATGGTGTTCCGCGATTAAACTTGGCAGTATCATTGATGATGTCCTAAAGAACTCCTATACCGAGTCTCATCTCCTTAGGCCCCGTCTGACATGGAGAAAACGGGACATAATGGAGAAATTGATAAAAAATCAAAAGTCACTTTCAAAAATGGTGTTCCGCGATTAAACTTGGCATTATCATTGATGATATCCTAAAGAACATCTATACCGAGTCTCATCTCCTTAGGCCCCGTCTAACATGGAGAAAACGGGACATAATGGAAAAATCGATAAAAAATCAAAAGTCACTTTCAAAAATGGTGTTCCGCGATTAAACTTGGCAGTATCATTGATGATGTCCTAAAGAACATCTATACCGAGTCTCATCTCCTTAGGCCCCGTCTGACATGGAAAAAACGGGACATAATGGAGAAATTGATAAAAAATCAAAAGTCACTTTCAAAAATGGTGTTCCGCGATTAAACTTGGCAGTATCATTGATGATATCCTAAAGAACATCTATACCGAGTCTCATCTCCTTAGGCCCCGTCTAACATGGAGAAAACGGGACATAATGGAAAAATCGATAAAAAATCAAAAGTCACTTTCAAAAATGGTGTTCCGCGATTATACTTGGCAGTATCATTGATGATGTCCTAAAGAACTCCTATAGCGAGTCTTATCTCCTTAGGCCCTGTCTAACATGGACAAAACGGGACATAATGGAAAAATCGATAAAAAATCAAAAGTCACTTTCAAAAATGGTGTTCCGCGATTAAACTTGGCAGTATCATTGATGATGTCCTAAAGAACATCTAAACCGAGTCTCATCTCCTTAGGCCCCGTCTGACATGGAGAAAACGGGACATAATGGAAATATCGATAAAAAATCAAAAGTCACTTTCAAAAATGGTGTTCCGCGATTAAACTTGGCAGTATCATTGATGATGTCCTAAAGAACATCTATACCGAGTCTCATCTCCTTAGGCCCCGTCTGACATGGAGAAAACGGGACATAATGGAAAAATCGATAAAAAATCAAAAGTCACTTTCAAAAATGGTGTTCCGCGATTAAACTTGGCAGTATCATTGATGATGTCCTGAAGAACTCCTATACCGAGTCGCATCTCCTTAGGCCCCGTCTGACATGGAAAAAACGGGACATAATGGAGAAATTGATAAAAAATCAAAAGTCACTTTCAAAAATGGTGTTCCGCGATTAAACTTGGCAGTATCATTGATGATGTCCTAAAGAACATCTATACCGAGTCTCATCTCCTTAGGCCCCGTCT